TGTCTTCTTTTATTCTTGATTACTCTAGTTACAGGTTTATCACTTTTATTTGTCTTTGCAAAGAACCAGCTTTTGGTTTCAATGGCTTTTTCTCTATATTTTTATTTCACTGATTTATACTCTAATCTTTATTACTTGCTGTTCTCTGCTTAATTTGAAATTAACTTGCTCTTTTTTTCTCCCTACTTTTCTAAAGTGGAAACTGAGGTCATTAATTGAGCTGCTTTAGCACCACCCCACAAATTCTGAAATGTTCTTTCATTTTCATTGAGTTGAAAATACTTTCTAACGTTCCTTTCAGTTTCTAAGTACTCATGGAGTATTTAAAAATGTGTCACTTAGTTTTCAAATACATGGAGATTTTCCAGATAACTTCCTACCATTGTTTTTTAATTTAATTTCCTTACAATCAGAGAACATACTTTGTTGTTGTTTTTGAGACAGAGTCTCACTCTGTCACCCAGGCTAGAGTGCAGTGGCATGATTCGGCTCAGTACAACCTCCACCTCCCGGGTTCAAGCCATTCTCCTGACTCAACCTCCCGAGTAGCCGGGATTACAGGTGCCACCACGCCTATTTTTTGTATTTTTAGTAGAGATGAGGTTTCACCATGTTGGCCAGGCTGGTCTTGAACTCCTGAGTTCAGATGATCTGCCTGCCTTGGCCTCCTAAAGTGCAGGGATTACAGGCACAAGCCACTGCACCTGGCCAGATAACATGTTTTGTATTGCTTAAATCCTCTTAAATTTCTCAAGTCCTAGAAAAAAGAAAGAAAGAAAAATTCTGAAGCCTCATTTAATGGTGCAGAATGTGGTCTATCATGATAAATGTTCTGCATGCACTTGGAAAGAATGTGTATTCTACATATGTTGGACAGTATTCTATATATGTCAGTTAGATCAAGTTAGTTCATAGTGTTGTTCAAATCCACCATATATTTGCTGATTTTTTTCCTCTACTTGTTCTTTTATTATATAGAAAGGAGTATTAAAAGTCTGACTATAGATAATTTTGGATTTATCTGTTTCTCCTACTAGTTCTATTGGTTTTTGCTTCATGTCAGGATTTGTCTGATTCCTTTATCATTATAAAATTAACTTCCTTAACCCTGTTAATATTATTTGGTTTGAAGTGTACTTTGATATTAATATAGCCATTTCACCTTTATTATGGCTAATGTCAGCATGGTATATCATCTTCATACATTTACTTTTAACCTATTTAAAGCATAATTTTTCCAATCATAGCAAGCTCAATAGTAAAGAAACATAAAACATGCGTAAGTTTTTGAAGGCAGTATATAATTGGGTTTTGCTTTTTATCCAATGTGCCAATTTCCGCTTTTTAACATTTAGACCATTTATATTTGATTACTGATATAGCTGGGTTTAAATAAAACATCTTGCTATTTTTTCCCATTATTCTAGTGGTTGCATCAGAGTTTACAGTACAAACATCTTTAACTTACCAGTCTATCTTATCAAGTAAGATAGTACTACTTCATGCATGAGAACCTTGTAATATACCTAAGATTCCTCCCTTCCTGCCTTTGTGCTACTCTTATCATACATTTTGCTTATATATATCATCCTCACAATATGTGGGTTATTATTGTCTACACAATTACCTTTTACACAGATTTAAATAAGAAAACATCTTATATATCTAGGCTTATAATGACAATTTCCAGTGACCTTCATTTCTTTGTATAGATCTGTTATTTCATTTGATATCATTTTCTTCCAGCTTGATGAACCTCCTTTAACATTCTTGAGGTGTGAGTCTGTGAGTGATGAATTCCTTCAGCTTTTGTAAATCTAAAAATATCTTTATTTCTTTCACCTTTGTGTTTGAAAGACATCTTTGCTGGCTGCAGTAGTCCAAGTTGACAGGTTTTTTTTTTTTTTTTAGTACTGTCAAGGTATTGTTCAATTTTGTTCTTGCTTATATTGTTTCTAACAAGAAATACAATTCTTACATTAGTTATCCTGTATATAAAGTGTCTTTTTTCTCTGGCTGCTGTTGAGTTTTCTCTATCAATGGTTTTATGCAATTTGATTATGATATGCCTCAGAGTAGTTTTCTTCTTATTATTCTTTGGGATTCCTTGAATTTCTTGATTCTGTGGACCTAGAGTTTAATTTAATTTATTTATCTATTTATTTATTTATTTTGAGATGGAGTTTCGCTCTGTAACCCAGGCTGGAGTGCAGTTGCACGATCTCAGCTCACTACAAGCTCTGTGTCCCAGGTTCACGTCATTCTCCTGCCTCAGCCTCTCAAGTAGCTGGGACTACAGCTGCCCACCACCACGCCCGGCTAATTTTCTTGTACTTTCAGTAGAGATGGGGTTTCATCGTGTTAGTCAGGATGGTCTGAATCTCCTGACCTCATGATCTGCTCACCTTGGCCTCCCAAAGTGCTGGGATTACAGGCGTGAGCCACCGTGGCCGGCCGTTATTTTTAATTTTGGAAAAATTTTAGCCATTATTTCTTCAAATATTTTTTCTATCCCCCATCACTTCTCTCCTCTGGGGACTCCAATTACATGTCTATTTGGTCACTTGAAGTTATCCCATAGTTCACTGGTGCTCTTCTCATTTTTTCTAAATTCCTTTTTCTCTTTGTGTTTCATTTTGAATAGTTTCTATTGTTATGTTTACAAGTTTACTAATTTCTTCTGACATTAATCCAATCTAATGTATTTTTCATTTCCCACATAGTAGCCCAGTGAGTCTTTTCAATATTTTCCATGTCTCTGCTTAATATCTGAACACAACAAATATATTAAAATAATTGTTTTAATGTGTTTGTCTGCTGTTCTATGATCTGTGTAGAGTCTGAGCCAGTTTCAATCAATTATTCCCTAGATGATTGGTTGCATTTTCCTGCCTCTTTGCATGCCTGGTAGTCTTTGATTGAAAGTCAGATCTGGTGAATTTTACCTGTTGGGTACTGGATACTCTTGCATTCCTGTAAATCTTCTTGGGCTTTGTTCCTCGATGCAGTTAAGTTACTTATAAAACAGTTTGATCCTCTTGAGTTTTACCTTTATGATTTGTCAGACTGGACTGAAGCAATGCTCAATAATATAAAGTTCAATGCTCAGTGTTAATTATTTTCCAATACTAAGCAAGACCTTCCTGAGTATTATACCCAATGCCCAATCAATTATGAGATGTTCTAGTCTAACTGGTGAGATCAGGAACTATTCGCAGACCTGTATGAGTGCCAGGTTCTATTCCTTTGAATCCTTTCAGATAGTTTTTTCCTTTGGCCTTAGGTAGTTTTCTCATATGCATGTATAAAATGGTAGTCTTTTCCTGGACCCTCTGAAGATCGCTGTGGTTTTATGTGCAGCTTTCTCCTCTCTGATACTCCATCCTGTAAATTCTAGCCACCTTGGTTTCTCTGGACTCTCATTTTTTTTTCTTCCATTTCTTCCAATTAGGGAGTCTGCTGGGCTCAACATGAGTTCCCTTTCCCTGGGCCATGGTCTGGAAACTGTTAAGACAGCAAGCTAGAAAATCAGAGAGGCAGCTCAACTCATTTGATCTAGAGATCACTATTTGGCTGCATGATTTTTAGTGACTTAAAAACCATTGTTGGCTGGGCCCAGTGGCTCACACCTGTAATCCCAGAACTTTGGGAGGCCAAGGTGGGTGGATCACCTGAAATCAGGAGCTGGAGAGCAGCCTGGCCAACATAATGAGACCCTGTCTCTACTAAAAATACAAAAATTAGCCAGGCATGTTGGTGTGTGCCTGTAGTCCCAGCTACTCGGGAGGCTGAGGCAGGAGAACTGCTTGAAGCCGGGAGGCAGAAGTTGCAGTGAGCCAAGATCACGACACTGCACTCCAACCTGGGTGAGAGAGTGAGACTGTCTCAAAACAAAACAAACCAAACCATTATTAACATACGCTGTCTTTTTAAAAAAATGGTTTCAGGTGGAAGTATAAATTCAGTCCCTTTCATTTCAAATGAGCAGAAGTCCCGAATTTGTATTTCTACTTAGAAAACAGGCAAAATGCTATGGCCAGGCACGGTGGCTCATGCCTGTAATCCCAGCACTTTGGGAGGCCGAGGCGGGCGGATCATGAGGTCAAGAGATCAAGATCATCCTGGTTAACATGGTGAAACCCCGTCTCTATTAAAAATATAAAAAATTAGCTGGGCATGGTGGCGGGTGTCTATAGTCCCAGCTACTCTGGAGGCTGAGGCAGAAGAATGGCGTGAACCCAGGAGGCGGAGCTTGCATCGAGCCGAGATTGCGCCATTGCACTCCAGTCTGGGTGACAGAGCAAGACTCCATCTCAGAAAAAAAAAAAAAGAAAAGAAAAAGAAAACAGACAAAATTCAAACTCAACTCAAAATGTTGACAGTGTGAGGAAATAACCTTTGAGTACTAAAGGAAAAGATGGTAGGTAACTTCCTGATGTTTAGCTTTGTTTAGCACCAGAACACTTCTTTGCTTATCAGCCATATCATACACTGATACAGTCAATACCATCTGTGCATTGTCTAGGTTACTTAATCCTTGTGGGAAACTCTTGATGACCTCTGATGAGCTCCTGAAATGCTTCACTGAGTGGGACTCCGTGTCAACATTCTTGTAGAAAGATAAGATTGTGACAGGAGTGCTGAGTACAGAGAAAGAAATACTGCTCCATTTTCAACAATGTCTATGGACTATAACTCTCTCTCCTGTCTGAATTAAGAGCGCTAGTAAAAATCAGCAGCTGTTTTCAGTAACACAGAATATCCTCAAGGAGGTAAAGAAGGAGGCAAGGGTGTTACTTGGGATGAAGATGGGAAGAATGTCTGCTGCCAAAACTCACAGTGACCAAATTTCACTTATTGAGCTGTGTTCTTCCCATAGAAGTTTATTCTGGGGCCCTGAGGTAAGAAGCCCAAGGGCTTCCACCTCCTGTTTTGATTGTCTAAAAACCATTAAAAAATGACTTATCTTCCACCTACTAAAGATGTTGAAAATCAATTACCTGCTTGAAGCAATGGACAGGCGCTGGGACTGAACATGTTTCTTTTAGGTATTTGTCCCAGGTAAAATGACCTGTAAAGGAAATAGAAATCTATATCACAGTCAACTTCCTAAAAAAAATGTTTTCAGGATATAATCTACACTAAACAGTAAGCTATTTGTGGACTGGTTTTGAGCATAAAAAACATATTTTTTTCCTGTTTGAGCTCAAAGGAGTATTAAGGGGAAGAATCTAAGTGACCTGAGCAGATGTTTTAGATTCATGTTTTAAAATAAAGGTCTAAAGATGGCTTAGGGTGTTCTTTATGCTCATTCCTAAAGTGATCCAAAATGCCAAAGCAAGATATATCAGTAGTACTTCAAAGAAGTGCCCAGGAAGCTCATGGAAAACAGAATAGAAGAAGCAGAAAGTGGGTGGGGAGATTCCTTTTGAACACTCTGACTCTCAGAAAGGTCCCTCATTGCTGTCAAGTGGCAGCTTTTAACACCCAATATGGTTGGATTCCAGCATCTCAGCTCAGGAAGAATGAAGAAAAGGCTGTCTAGAGACAAGGGGCGAGATGATTTGAGGGGAGGGGAAGCCAGATGAGTGAGATTATAGTTGAAACCTCACTCAAAAAACTGGCTCTCACCTACCCTTACTGCACCCCCACCCTAGCCACAGTGTCTTGCTCTGGGGTACAAAGTGACAAAGATCTGTTAATTTAGAGCAAAGTAGGACCTGGGAAGCATGTCTGATGACAGTAAATAAGAACAAGCTGGGGAGTCTGTAGAATCGTTTAGCCTCTTGAACTGGCCTTACACCCTCTCAAAGTTTGAAGAATACTGTCCTAGATAAACAATCCTCAAGGTGACACTGTGCTGGGGCAAGGGAAAACATATTAAGGTAGGCCATTAGATATGGATCTCATTGGATCAGTAAAGATTATCAAATTCTTTATTTAAAGGTTAAACCAATTACCAGTCTCCCCCTAATACCCACCTAGAGGTGACCCCATGATGGAGCAGGGAAGGTCCCAGAGAATCTCACAAGCTAAAACACTGTAGCAAACCAGCATTTCTTGAAGCTTCCTCTGTAGTGGAGCAGCACAGAGCCCCTTTGGGCCATGCAAAAAGCACTAGATGCTGGGAATAAAAATGAGTCACTGAATGATGACATCTAAATCACTCCAAAGATGATGCCAAGACTTTACACTCTATTTATTTTATAGCTTCTGTTTTATAACTGGTTCCTTTCCCACTATCTTTAACTAAGTCAAATAGATTTGGCCAGAAATCACAGTCAGTTTTGAACTATTTCATGAACTGGCTGATGATTAATCATCATGACTAGACAGTTAGTCTATAGGGCAAATGAGATGACTCTTTTCTGAAGTCAAGGTTTAAAGACGTTATCAGAATTTAATGAAGAGTTTGCTCCTAGTTGACAGGGCCCTAAAGCAAGGACTGAATACATTTCATCACTGTTTGCTGTTAGAAAAATAAAACATTACAATTTATTATTCCATCCTTACAAATGAAAGATTAAATCAAATAGCAAGTTTTGGATTTCCCTGGATTGAGAATCTTCAACTCTGGCATCTAGAGCAGCACTGTCCAGTAAAACTTTCTGTGCTGACTAAAATGTTCTGTATCTGTGCTAGCCAATAAGGTGGCCACCAGCCACATAACTACTGGACACTTGAAATGTGGGTAGTGTAAGAAACTAAATTTTATTAATTTTAATTAATTTAAATTTAAATCTCCACATGTAACTAATAGTTACTGTATTAGGAAGCACAGACCAAGAATTTTGGTCAGTCCTGGGTAACTGCTTATATTAGCGTAAGTTCTGACTAAAAGCACCCAAGAGACTTTGGTCTTAAGAATAATGGTAGCATCAGGGGTAACACAGTAATTAGGGTATTAATTACAGTTCTCCATTTTACATATCAACCATGGTAATCAATCCCTATTCTGTAATGTACATAGGCTAGAAACCTCAGCCCTTTTACCACTTAGGAAACATTCTATTACTAACTGAATGAAAAGGAACCTCTGTTTAAAGTAGTTCACCCACTGTGATGGCTGGCTGGCTTGAACCATACCTAGAGGGTATTTTCCTTTTATTTGACTTCTTGGGCTACCTAAGACTTAGTTCCTTATTATCAGGTGAATTGCAAAATAAGGTAATTTTTATGACTTAGTAAGAATGTTTGGACACCTATTGTAATGCCCATGATGAAGCCAGACATAATATGTCTGCCATATCTCCAAGCACTAAAGTAACCACAAAAGAAATAGGACAGGCACCAAGGTATAGATCCAGAGTTAGCAAGCTTTCCGTTAAAGACAATATAATAAAAATTTTATGCTTTCTAGGCCATACAGTCTATGTCATAGCTACTCAGCTCCACTACTCCAGTGTGAAAGCAGCCACAGACAATCTGTGCATAAATTAGCATAGCTGTTCCACTCAAACTTTATTTACACAAACAGGCAGAGGGCTGGATTTGACCTCCCAACAGTAGTTTGCCAGACCTCTGGTATAAATCATTGACTCTCATGTGATACTTATAGTCTCATTTCTTTAAACAAAGTTCTGGGCCCCACCTTCAGAAGTTCTCATTCAGTAGGCTCCAAGTGTGGCCTGAGAACATGTATTTTCCAAGGCTCTCTAGGTAATTTGGATTAACATCTGTGACTAAGAACTACTACTGGTGTAGTTTAAATAATGTAATATTGGGAGTTTGAGGATGTTGATAAAAGTCTTGTTTCTACAGCTAACTATCTTGGGTAAATTATTTAATCCTTCCAAGCCTCAGTTTACTCATCTGAAAGATGAAGACGATATCTGTCTTACAAGATTGTACATAGATTCTTCATTCAATAAATATTTAAACTTCTCCAAGTACAAAGAACTGTGTTAAATGTTAGGGGAACAAGGTAAGACATGATTTCTCAATTCATGGAGCTTTCAGTCTAGAGATAAACAGGGACATTAATAAACATAACACAAGTAATCTGTTATGATAATGATAAAGTTAACGAGGTAGTACAGGTTGTCTTGAAAATGCAGAACATGAAAACCTCGTTCATGCTTGGGCTCAGAGATTACTGTGAAAATTAATATTAACTAACAAAGGTATAATGTTTTATAATTTAAACATATAAAATTTGAGTATTTTCAATTATTCCAACATTATAATTCAAAATTATAATTCAAAATATTCAAACAGTATAATTTGAATGTTTTCAATTATTCATTCAACAGATATTTAACTATCCTCTATGTGCCCGGCAATATGACAGGGGTCCCTGCCCTCATTTACTTGCCGGTGTATGATGAGACACAGCTAACACATAATAAATAAACAAGACAGTAAGTGAAAAGAACTTGAAGGGAATAAAATGAGGTGATGCGATAGAGACTGGGAGCTATCTTAGTAAAGTTACGGACAGATACTCTTCAGAGGAAATGTCTGAGCTAAGACTTCACAGATGAGAAAAAGTCAGCCATCTCCTTTACTAAATAATGCTTATAAAAGTGTTTTTATAAACGCTGATGCATACCACATGATGTTTACATTTATTATTAAAAAAGAAAAAAAGGTCCCTGCCCTGAAGGGACTTAAAAATGGCATTAACATACCTTGGCCCATAAAATATAAAGCACAAGAGATCACCTAGTTAAATGCATGAATCACTTTCTCTAATTTCATTCATTCAGCAAATATTTACTGAATACCTACTATATGTTAAGCCTGGTTCTAGGCACTGGTGATATATAGCAAAATACAGTGCAGCCGAAGTCTCTGCCCACATGGAGCTTACATTCTAACGGGAAGACAGACAATAAACAAACAAACAAACAAACAAACAAATACGTCAGCTGGTCCAGAGGGTAACAGAGACACCACATTAAATTATACAATTCCTGGCTATTTTGAAATTTAAAAAAATAAAAGTAAGAGGTAAAAAAGGTGTGCTATTTTAGGCAGGGCAGTCAAGGTGATACAAAAGTTGAGATTTGGGCCGGGTGTGGTGGCTGACTCCTGTAATCCCAGCACTTTGGGAGGCCGAGGTGGGCAGATCACCTGAGGTCAGGAGTTCAAGACCAGCCTGGCCAACATGGGGAAACCTTGTCTCTACTAAAAGAAATATAAAAATTAGCTGGGCGTGGTGCCAGGCACCTGTAAATCCCAGCTACTTGGGAGGCTAAGGCAGGAGAACTGCTTGAACCTAGGAGGTGGAGGTTGCGATGAGCTGCAATCGCGCCACTGCACTCTAGCCTAGGCGACAGAGTGAGATTCCGTCTCAAAAAAAAAAAAAAAAAAAAAAAAAGTTGAGATTTGAATGGTCCTTTCAGCCTCTGCTTAAATACTTCCAATCATGCGACACTCATTATTTAGCTATTACACAACAGTACAAATGGACAGACTACTCTTTATAGTCAGCCAACATCTGCCTTCTAACCTCTACTGATCCTAGATATATCTAATCTCTATGTCCCAAATCCCTCGACTGCTCCTCATTTGACAGGCTGGTTACTCGTGTCTGGCTACTGCTCTGGCCACATTCCTTTACAAGAACTCCACTTTGTTCAACCTAAATGTGAACCCAAATTCCTAAAAGCAATTAAGGATAATCAATGTCTTTAGATCAGAAATTCCACTCCACTAACACCGTATAAATAGTGTTCTATGTACCAAAGTTTAAATAATAATATATTTGTTAAACGCCACTGATGGTAATTTAAGTGTCTTTATTTTATTTTGAGACATGGTCTTGCCTTGACTCAGTGTCAGGCTACAGTACAGTGGTGTGAACATAGCTAATTGCAGCCTCGACCTCCAGGGCTCAAGCGATCCTCTCATCTCAGCCTCCCTAGTAGCTGGGACTACAGGTGTGTGCCACCATGCCTAGCTAATTTTTGCATTTTTTGTAGAGACAGGGCTATGCCAAGTTGCCCAGCCTGTTCTTGAACTCCTGAGTTCAAGCGATCTACCTGCCTCGGCTGCCCAAAGTGCTGGGAATACAGGTATGAGTCACAGATTTGGGATTTGTCCTAAGGGTGAGATTTGTCCTAAGGGTGGGACTAATGGACAAAGAGCGTGCACAGTTTAGATTTTGATACAACATATATATTGCTGAAATATCTTCTAGAAAGAATATACTGATTTTTTTTTTTTTTTCTTAGAGACAGGGTTTCCCTGTGGAGTCCAGGCTAGTCACAAACTCCTAGACTTGTCCTCCTCCTGCCTTGGACTCCCACACTGTGGGGATTACAAGTATAAGCCAAATTTTTTTTTTGTTTTTTTTTTTTTTTGAGACAAAGTCTCACTCAGATACCCAGGATGGAGTGTGGTGGCGCAATCATACCTCACTGTAACCCCGATCAGGACTCAAGCAACCCTCCGCGCTCAGTTTCCAGAGTAGCTGGGACTACAGGTGTGCGTCAGAATGCTTGGCTAATTCTTTTCTTTTTAGTAGAGACAAGGTCTCACTACATTGCCCAGACTCAATTTCTACTCCTACCAAAAGTACACAGTGTGTTTACCACATATTTGCTAAAACTGTGTTTTAACAATTTCTATAATTTTGACAAATCTTATCAGTGAAAAAATAAAATAATATTATAATTTTATTTGTAATTTTTGATTACTAATAAAGTCAAAGATCTCTTTAGGCTTATCAGCCAGTTTGTATTTTAGTTAGCCATTTTTATGCTGAGATATTCTTTTGTTTTCTCACAGACTCTAGGAGTTCTTTGTAGATTAAGGAAAAGTCACTAGAAGAATTTTTACTTAATAGAAATAAAGCATCTAGAAAAAGTGTTCTTTCCACTATAACACAGGTCCCTCTGAAAAGACACAGACTTTCAGGCAACAGAAAGAGACGCTTAGATAAGGAAGAGAAATCAGAGGTGTTTTGGAGGGTCCAGGCAGATATCCTGATACGAGAAAGGTCTGGATGTGGGAGGCTTCACAGATGTAGAATCTTAACATTCAAGCTACCAAGGACGTTAGTGTTTCCTAAAACTCATGGCTTTCTTGGTCCCATATCTTTGCTCATGTTACTCACACTCAGTGACTAAAGCTCAGCAAAAATTTTACATTTTCTGTCAGAAGGCTTTGCAGAGAAAGGCTGGACAAATTCTACCATTTCCTTATCTCCTATATAATCATAATTATTTATGTAAGTTCTTTATGGATGGGGGCTCATATTCATTTTAAAAATATTTAAATGTTTAACACAGTGCCTGAAATTTAATAGAGGCTCAATATGAGTTTCTGAGTGAATAAAAAGAAGCACGCAAGTAATAATCCTATTCTTTCTTGGATTAATAAAATACCTGGGATATAGTTCTGAAAACTATACTCTGAGAGCAAATCTGAGTTTAAATGATTACCTAGTGATGGTAAACAGACCCAAAACCATGTCACCTGAGGACCAGGTGAAGGAACATGAACAATTAGCATGAGTAAAAAAGTGAAGTCTCAGAGCCATCCCCCATCCATCCAACAAATATTGATAGTGCGTGTCAAAGCACTGTGCTGGGTGCTGGACACATAACTGTGATCAAAATATCATCCTTGACCTCACACAGTTTCAGTCTAGTGACAGAGAATCTAGTGAGGGACAGAGACTAAACAGTCACCACTAAGATAATATGATAAGTGCAATACTGGAGAGACAGAGGGTGCTATAGGAGCACGCAGAGTGCTTGTGGAAGCTTACCAAAGGAAGAAAGCTCTAGGCTTCTAAGCTAAAGTGTAAAAGGATAAGCAGGAGTCAAAGAAAAAGGAAACACTTTTTGTTTGTTTCAGACAGAAAGAAAGGCATTATAAAGGCTCAGACATGAGAAAAAGCAGTTCTAAAAGCAGATCTTTTGGTATGGCTGCTGGGTGGAGTTTAAAGAAAAAGTAGTTTAGAAAAAAGGTTACAGATAACGGCAGTGTTCAGGCATTGGAGAGCCCAATATACTGTATTACTGAGAAGAGGAAGCATTCAAGGTTTTGGGGTGAAGTCATTCTGGCTGTAAAGAATGGGCAGGAGGGGGATAGGGCTGGAGGCAAAAAGACCAGTTAGGAAGCTGTTTTAATAATCTAGGTGTGAGATGACTGTGGCTTCAACTATTAAAGTGGCAGGGTGGCAATGAGAAGGCAGTCCCTAGAGCTTCTTTCTAGAAATCAGGGTAAGTGAAAAATAGGCTAACCCTGTTTCAAATGGCCAGAAAGTTAGAGGGATGACTAACAGAAATTACAAAAAGCAAATTTTGGCCCAATAAATATGTCTAAATATGAAATGAATTACCTGAGGAGCTTCTAGGTTCTCAACAACTTGAGGAGTTCAAGGTAAGACATTTTACAAAAAATTCAAAATGCTGAATTTTAAATGCTGGGCAAGAATACATTATTTTGTGGTCTTTTCCAACTTTGAGATTCCACAGATCTACTGAATTTTGTTTCAGTTTGCTATTTGGAGCTGCTCCTTATGCTAGATGGTAAAAATGAAATATGCAGGATTAACTTATATATCAGAGGATATGCCTATGCAACCAATGCTCTAGGAAAAATACACTTTCAAATTTTAACATCTTTTAGTAACTGATATACTCTATGTCAAATCGAGTACCCACATTTCACAACTCCCCATCAACAGTTTACAATATGCCTTAAGCTGTCACTGAGTTACAATTGTTATTATCATTCATATTAGCTACAAAACCAAAAACAGCAGCTATCACTGTCTTCCATTTGCCTGTACCATGCCAGACTACGTCCAATATCTCCTGTGTTCATTATAACCTGCAAAGTAGTTTTATTCCCATTTTAAAGATGAGGAAATAGGCTTAGAAAGATTAAGTAATTTGCCTGAAGTCACAAAACTGGTAAGTGGGAATAAGAATTTGAACCAAGGCCTGTCTGACTCCTATGTCCATGTTTTTTCTACCACACATCAGTACCTTAAAAAGCTTGAGGAAAGTTTTAAAGAATAATAAAAAATAACTATCATTTATCAAGTGCCAGGCACCTTTACCTGCATTATTTCATTTCATTCATTTCTTCAGCTCACATTCATAGAATGCTTCACTTCAAAGAATGTCAGAAGATTTGACTTAGAGTAAAGTCTGAGTATAGCCGCTGAACAGAATGAAAATCATAATAATCCTCCAAAGTTGAAAAGTATTTGAGAGTTTTTAAGATGTTTTCACATCCATTAGCTCATGTAATCTTCTTTACAACCCTGTGAAGTAGGCAGAATGGGATTATTATCCCCATTTTACAAATAAGAAAACTAAGGATCAGAGTCACAAAGTTACTAAGTGGCAGAACTGGCTCTCAAAAAGCCTAGGAGTTCTGACTCCTAGTCTAGTGTTCTACTACTTCATGTTATCTTCTGTGTCATTGGGCAATGCAAAGTAATATGTTGCAGGGAAGAAAGGCAAGAGGAGGCAAACAGACAATGATAATAATAGAGCTAAATATATATCAAGTTGTAACAAAATATATCAAAATAATTTGAACAAAAATTGATAAAGGTATCTGGATATCAAAATCTATGCAACATATAAAAGGATTTTAAAGGATTCTAAGATGTTAAGACTGATGTTTATGCAGGAACTCTGATTGAGAAGTATTAGAACTAGTTTTACTACTCAAATCTCAGTCCTGAAGTACACCAACCAGGGAGGAAAACCAAATGCAATTATCGGTCTGACTTCTTACTTGATAATATTTTAATATTTCAGTTTTTATTTGTGAATAAAGTTAGAAAATGTTTAGGTTTAGTTTCAGTTCAATTTACCTTACAAGTATTTTTTTGGGGGGAAAAGTCCCACCAAACACTGATTTATGGATGGCAGGGGTTTGTTTTAGTTCTGGATTCAGTAAATTAAGATGGTACTTCCAGTTTGGTTCAGTTCCTGTTCTTCCCTATACCCTGTGTAATTAACCACCTTCCCTCCCTTCTTGTTAGCTTGGTCTGTGGCCTACTGATAAGCAGGACTTGATGTGACAGCTGAGATGAAGTACATGGGATAATTAGGCAGACAAGAGCACAGGATTCACTGGTTTCTGAGACAGAGACACATGGAATTCTTTTCCTAGTTGGTTAAAACTGGTTATAATCTAATCCCTGGTTTACCAATTACCCTTATTTAACAGAAACACAAGAAAAATAGCTTACCTAGCTCCAGGATGTCAGCAGTTTCTAGTAAAGAAAAAAATGTTGGAGCATAAGTCATTAAGACAAACAACCAATATGATGGAAGGTGAAATTCTGGGGTAAAACAGGAAATTGAGCATTTGTCTAGTTCAGTTATCTTATCCTAAAAGACACTGAGATTCTTAGTAGTCATTGTGGAAGCACACCACCCAATTTTGCCTATTCCCAAGCCTATAAAAACTATAGAAAACCAGAGAGGCTAAGCAACTGTGCCTAAAACTATGAAGCTAATTTGGCATTACCTATACTCAGAATCCAGGTTTCCTACTTCCAGCTAAAACAAAGTATATTGCTTATGACCAATATCTCTGTAAACTGCAATATTTGCTTCTGATATAACAAGTGAGTTACTTGTAACTCAGACCTCTAAGAACAAAGGTTTTATGGGAGAAGATGTTGAGTAAAATTTTTCCACACCAAACGGAGTTTTTTCCCCCCTTACCTTGATATTGAGATGCAGACTCTGATAGGTGACCATATTTGTGTTTTCTAACATCATTCCAGTCTATCACTGCAGGGGGAGAGAAAAATAGTCATGTGGAAAGAAAATATAAGATTAAATACTTTTCCAATTTGGCAGTATGTATTAACAGTTTTTAATATAGTAATCCACTTCTGAGAATCTATGCTAGGGAAAAATACTCCAAAACACAAGAAAAAGGTTTCATGTAAAAAGTTTTAGCATTGTTTATAATAACAAAAAAAGGAACACCTAAATCTTCAAAATAGAAGACTGATTAAGATTTGATAATACAAACACTTGACAAAGTATGTTGAAGCTATTAAATTTTTACAAAGGCTAAAGAACAAATGGGAAAATGTTTATGTTACAATGTTATTAGGTAAAATATGGGAACAATATTTTATATTCATGGAATGATCACAATTATTTAAAACACTAAAAACAAATAGCACCCCAGTTATGGGCTCAACTGTATCCTCCAAAACTTCATGCTAAAGTCCCCACTCCGCAGCACTGCAGAATGTAACTGTATTTGTGATGGCAGCGGTGGGCCACCTGGAGCAGCTGCTGTCATCATGCCGGCTGCGGCAGAGAGGCACAGCTGGGAATGCACGCTCCATGGGGCCGGTGGGAGCCTGGGAGCAGGCAGGAGTCCCGCCATTCTGGACACAGCTGCAGCCACCCAAACCGAGGCTGCAAACCCAGACCTCCTGCTCCATTGAACAGGAAGGAGCCCTGCCCCGACGGGCACAGCTGCAGCCCCCCAAATGTGGCTGCCGTCCCAGGTACCCCTGCACTCTTGGGGGTCCAGGAAGGACCCCTCTGCCCTCGCAGGATCAGAAGTGCCTGCTCCCCTTGCCTGGCTTCTCCCTGCTGTTGGCACCCGCTCTGATCTTGGAGCAAAGTCAGGGCGGAGCCTGGGTGCTATGAATGGCAGCAGGAAGCAGACAGATTCCTAAGCAGAAAAGGGCGGATCCCTGGTGAGGCCCACCTTCAGGCCAGGGAGGGTCTGAAGGCTGGGGGCTGAACTGCCAGTCCTGCAGACTGGAGTGGGGACTTGTGGTGCCTTTTCCAGGCCTGCCCATGGCCACCCACAGACCAATGGGCACACACTTCCTCACCTCTGGGGCCCATAAAAACCCTAGGAACAGCCAGAGCAGAGCAGAGGAGGAGCCACCCATTCTAGGGCCTCCTCTTTGCTGAGAGCTACAGAAATGACGTGACAACCTGCCTGCAGAGAGGAGCCACCCACTCTAGGGCCTCCTCTCTGCAGAGAATTGAGTGAACACTTGTTGGGACAACCTACCTGCAGAGAGGAGCTATCCTTTCTGCTAGGGCTGAACACTCACTGGGACATCCTGGCACTGTGGGTCATCTCTGAGCTGTTCTATTGCTCAATACAGATCCTCTTCATCTTGCTCACCCTCAGCTTGTCTGCATATCTCCTTCTTCCTGGTTGCAGGACAAGAACTCAGGACCTGCTGAATGGCGTGGCTAAAAGAGTTGCTGTAACACCAACAGGGCTGAAACATGCCCCCTGCTTGCCGCAGTTTGGGCAAAGAGGAGGAGGGAAGAGCTGCAGCCCTTTGGGGAGCCCAGACCTGGGAGCTTCTGGAGCCAGGGCTGTGACTTCCACTTTGGGGCCCTGTGGTTCCTACAAGCTTTTGGGCGCTACTGCATTCCCCAGTGCCAGCCAGGGAAGCTGCTTGTGGTGCGCCTGGTCCAGCTGCAGCCTCACAGAGAGCTGCTGACACCTGGAGCTGCCCACCTTGCGGCAGGAGCTGGTGTGTCTGACTGCGCAGTAGATGGACCCCGAGCTTGCTCATACACACTCCTCACCACTCCATGCCTAACTCTAGTCTCTCTTGGAGGCGAGGGATCCAGGCTGATAGCGTAAGCAGCCTGCCAGGCCAAGTGAGTGGAACGAGCCCAGTGGGCCCAAGCAAAACTCAGGCAAAGGCACCACTGGCCACAGGTTTCTGACCAGAAAAGCAACACTCCTAGGACCCCACAATATTTGGAGAAAGGGTCTTTAAAGAGATAATTAAATTAAAATGAGGTCACTAAGGTGGTCACTAATTCAGCATGACTGGTGTTATCATAAGAAGAGAAAGTTTGGACACAGGTACAGAGAAAAGATCATGTAATTAACACAGGGAGAAGCCTCAGAAGGTAAGGAGTGAGGCCTCAGAAGAAAGAAATCAACCTTGCCAATGCCTTGATCTTAGACTTCTAGCCTTCAGAATTGTGAGGAAATAAATTTCTGTTGTTTAAGCCACCTAGTCCATGATATTTGTTACAAGCAGCCCTGGAAACTTATGCAACTGCGGAAATTATCATTAGAAAAAATATATAAGTAAACACGGCAAATATAAACAACTGGTTATCTTTGGGTGGTAGTACTGGGTTCCCTGACACCGTCCCCACTTTCTGTTTTATAATCTTATATATTTTCAAATTTTCCATAAACAGGATACATTACTCATATAAGGAGAATATATTTTCCTCAGTTGAAAATTTAGATTCATCTACTGACCCTACTACTTTCTCACCATCAATCACCTATCATGTCTTTACTTAACTTCTTGTCCAGCTCCGACTCCATGGTCCTCACTAACATCATTGTCTGGCAAACACTCTTAATTCCTTCCCATCTCTTTTTTGTCAAATGTACCTACTAAAGGCTCAATCCTAAATCTGGTTAAAGCCACGTATCGACCTATACTGTGCCTACCCCAGCAGCTCACCAGTGCTGAAGAAAAACAAATGCAAGCTTATTGGTCTCATTTTAAACTCATAGCTATAATTCTCAAATGCCACTTTACACCGCCCAGAAATAATCATACCACATTTCTACACTACTTTTCCATTTTCTAAAAAAAAAAAAAAAAAAAAAAAAAATTCATATCTTTCTCTCTCCTCAAACTCCAAATATACTCTCCCCAACTTCACTCTCAGGGAATTCAGGATTCATTGAGAAAACAGAAGTAAGAGTAAGCCTTTCCACTCATTTCATGACGGTAGAGACTTGATCTTGTTTAGTGGTGAATCCCCAGTATGTAGTATAGTAACAGGGACTCATTAAATGTTTGGTGAATAAATTACCTATTCATTCATGGTTTTTTCTGACTTCTCTCCTGTTACTGTGGATGAAGTGTCTGTTTTTATCAAAAGCCAACTCTCCATATTAGCTGCAGGTCCCATAGTCTCTCATCCTCTCAAAAACTTTGCAAGTATCCCCCCATCTTTTTTTTTTTTTTTTTTTTTTGCTATTCTTTGTAATTGGCCAACAATAATTTTACATATTTTTGGGGTATAAAGTGATGTTTCAATACAAATACACATTGTGGAATGATCAAACCAGAGTACAGCAATTAGTATATCCATCACTTCAGATATTTATAATTTCTTTGTGGTGAGAACATTTAAAATTCTCTCTTTAGCTATTTTGAAATATATAATACATTATTATTAACTACAGTCAACATGCTCTGCAATAGAACACCAGAACTACTCCTCCTATCTAACTATAACTTTCTACCTGTTGACCAATGTATCTCCCTTTTATCTATACTCACCCCTCCCCTCCCAGCCTCTGGTTATCACCATTCTACTCTCTACTTCTATAAGTTAGACTTTTTTTAGATTCTACATGTGAGATTATATGATATTTGTTGTTCTGTGCCTGACTTCAACATTATATCCTCTAGGTTCATCCACGTTGCCAAAAATGACAGAATTTCCATTTTTTAAGGCAGAATGTATTCCACTGTGTATATACACCACATTTTAAAATCCATTCATATATTGATGGACACTTAAGTTATTCCCATATCTTGGCTACTGTGAATAGTGCTGCAATGAATACAGGCATGCAGATGAAGCTATCCCTTTAACATACTGATTTCATTGCCTTTGGGGATATAGCCAGTAGTGGGATTGATGAATCATATGGTATTTCTATTTTGTGTTTTGAGGAACCTCCATCCTGTTTTTCAAAATGGCTGTACTAATTTGTGATATCCACAACAGTGTATAAAGGTTCCTTTTTCTTGTAATCCTTGTCAATATTTATCTTTCATCTTTTTGATAACAGCCAACCTAACAGGTGTTGGCTGTAGGGTATCTCACTGTGGTTTTCATTTGCATTTCTCTGATGATTAGAGATGTTGGACTTTTTTTTTCATATATCTGTTGCCCATTTATATGTTTTCTTTTGAAAAATATCTATTCAAGTTCTTTGCTTATTTTTAACAGGGCTGTTTTCTTGTTACTGAGTAGTCTGAGTTCCTAGTATATTTTAGATATTAGTCCCTTCTCCAGTGTATGATTTGCAAATATTTTCTCCCAATCTGTGGGTTGTCTCTTCACTCTATTATTTCCTTTTCTGTGCAGTAGCTTTTCACTTGAATGCAATTCCATTTGTCTATTTTTGCTTTTATTGTTTATGCTTTTGAGTTCAAATCAGAGAAATCTCTGTCCAGACCTCTAGCAGTTTTATAGTTTCAGTTTCATAGTTTCAAGTCTTTAATCCATTTTGAGTTGATTCTTGTATGAGGGGTGAGATAAAGATCCACTTTCATTCTTCTGTTTGTGGATATCCAGTTTTCCCAATACCACTTTTTGAACAGATTTTCCTTTCCCCAATGTGTGTTCCTGTCAAAAAGCAATTGACTGTAGATGCACGGGTTTATTTCTGGGCTCTCTGTCCTATTTCATCAGTAGATTTGTCTGTTTGTATGCCAGCACCATGCTTTTTTGATTACTATAGCTTTGTAATAAACTTTGTAATACAGTAGTGTGATGTCTCCAGCTTTGCTCTTTTTGGTCAAGATTGTTTGGCTATTTGGGATCTTTTGTGGGTCTACATTAATTTTAGCATTGTTTTTTCTCCTTCTGTGAAGAATGACAGAATTTTGATGGCAGTTGCATTAAATCTGTAGATTTCTTCTGGTGGTATAAATATTTTCACAATATTAATTTTTCCCATCCATAAACACTAGATATCTTTCCACTTATTTGTGATATCCTTAATTTCCTTTATCAGTGCCTTACAGTTTTCAGCGTATAGATCTTTCACTTCCTTGGTTAAAGTTACTTCTATGTGTTTTGATTTAATTTAATGTAACTTAATTTGGGAGAGCTAAGTAATTAAACATGAGGCCAAAGTACGTAAGAAAGTGGCAGTCTTTTATTGCAAATATGCATACACTCTCGGGCGAAGTTCTCTGGTCCTCAGGTGTGGGGGGCCAGGGAAGTCGAGCGGGCGCTCTCAGGTGATGTTCTCCGGTCCACAAATGCAGGGGCCGAAGAAGTCACGCCGGCTCCTGCCGGCGGCGGACTTTTATGCCAGGGAGCTGGAAGGGGAGGAGTTTGGGGCGTGTGTGTAGGAGTGGCTTCTTGAATTTCAGTGTCCTCGGCTTGACGTCATTCTGCGCATGCTCAGTTGATTTGGTTCGTTTCCCGGGCGCGGGAAAATCTGTGATGAAGAACCCGGAAACAACAGGGACTGCTCCATCTTGTTCACCTTCCTCCATCTTGTCCCTTTTCCTTCACCCAAACACTATGTATTTTACTTAGAAGTAAGTGGTATTGTAATATGACCCAGCCATCCCATTACTGGGTATATACCCAAAGGATTA